ATGAGAGAGAAGGAAAGAGTACAAATGAGATCATCCTTAAAGAGAAACACCCAAAGACGAGCACACACTGGATTTGATTTGGACATAACAAAGTCCTTCAAAGATCACAGAAATGTCAAACTAGCTTTCTACAAACGCACAAACATATGCACACACAAAAAAAGGTAAAAGCCACAAACTGGAACAAGATTACATGGTTCGGCACTAAAATCTACCTGATGATGCCTTGTGGTTTCTTTCCATCTCCTCCTGTAAAAAAACAGCGAAAGATATCAACAGTGGAACAAAACCAATCCATCCTATTCTGAGAACCACACTACATAAAGCATGGAAATAATAGGAAAGTCGGTGAATCAAAAGCCCCAACATAAAAATGCATATTGTCACATTAGTGAAAATGAAACTTTAGATCATATGCTGCTTGGTCAACATCGAATCAGTCAATCAACAGAAATTAATCCAATACAGATATTTTCATTCAGACACATTTCAAATGAGTTGTTGTAATTCTTAATCCATAGTACCACCCGAATCCCAGCATCAAAAATCAGAGCTACTCTCCCACTGTTTACTAGTATCATGGAACTTCTGGGAATGTTAATAAATGCCATGTACATATATTACCGCATAACACTGGAAGGATATTAAACTGCCCAAAAATATTACAATTTGATAGCTTATAGTATCAATAAGGAATTTATTAACATAATATTGTTCCAAACATTTTATAGTTTGACGTTCTACCAGGGCAATAACTACGGGATACAGGGAGATAACAAAAATGGATAGAAGTCTATGAGTTTGAGTGCATGTGTGAGCATACAATGTCACAGCACGCAACAGATTAAGTTATATAAGAGAGAGACAAAGAAAGGAGGCACAGCAAGACTAAGACAAAGAGGGAACACAGCTTCTATATCACCAATAAATGCCAGCAGACAAAAAAAAACAATAAATGACATGGAGAAACTTCAGATTAAGCGTCACCTGAAGCTTTTTTGCAAGATCCTCATGACTTAGCAATCCAGTTGATCCGCTGACAGAATCTTTAGCAGTGCTCAACCTCCGCGAAACTTCAGCCTATCCAGAAATGGCAAGCTATAAGTTAGTCTGCAAAGACTTCTGACAGAGCAATGAAAATAATGACCTGAAAGAAGCACATTAGTCATTGCTACACACCAAGCATCGGTCACAAACTCTAACAACCGGAGAATTCTCATCAGCTGTAAGAGCAGTCCTGCCTTGAGTGCACTTGTCACAAAAAATATCTCCACAATTCCTGCAGTGATGCTGAAAAAGTGGCAAATGTCATTATTATATGAAGTATAATGAATATCAGAATAAGATGTGAATTTGTTACTGCAAAGGAACAAATAGATAGAGAAGATAGATATAAACTAGAAAAGATGAGACGTGCCTTGCGCACAAAAGCATTAAAATCTGTCCCGCAGCCTGTGCATTTTGTTGCAGCTTCATCAGGAACCTATTTAAGTTAAACGGGAAATGAATGAAAGTCTGGACAAATTAAAACTTAAAAGACTAGTTCTCCTAAAAGTATATGCATAGAACAATGCACTCTTAATACAAATGACAGGATTTCTACCAAGTTTGATGGATATAATACCTAATGAGTAACTTCGCAATCATAAAAAGTAAGACAAAAGGCAAATGAGTAAAGAAAGAAAAAAGTGCAGCATGCTATCTCTTTTTAAATTTTTAATTAGGGGAACATTACTACCCTACCTTAATGCAGAGGATGAGGCTCTCCCCATTTTCATTAGCTTTCTTGCAAAACAATAAAAACAGGGACAAAGGGCCTTTTCTTAAACAATTAGGGGTTGTTCTCTTTGTGTTTTGAGTTTTGTGTTTTGAGTGTCCATTTTAAGATTGTTGAAAATGTGTTTCTTTTTAGCATTTTGAAAAATTATTTTCAAAAATTAGAAAATGGAAAACGTGTTCTCTTCCCCTCCTCACTTCACTGGCGTCTCTCTCTCTCTCTCTCTCTCTCTCTCTCTCTCTTCTTCCCTTCCTTCACTGGCGATGGTTGGTTTGGATGCGGTGGCTTTTTGGCGGTGGTTGAGTCTTGGATGTGGCAGTGGGGGTCTTTCTGGGGGCGATTTTGACTATGGCAGTGGGGGTGGGGGTTTTCATGTTGGCGATTTTGGCTGTGGCATTGAGGGTATTTCTGGTGGCAATTTTCCTGTGGTTGGGTCACGATTTTGGCTGTGGCGGTGGAGGTCTTTCTGGTGGCGATTCGGCGGTGGTTGGGTCTTGGCTGTGGCGGTGTGAATCTTTCTAGTGGCGATTTTGGCGATGGTGGTGCAGTGGTAGGTTCCGATAGTGTAGTGGTGGTCGGGTGCTGTGATGGTTGGCAGTGGTTGAAAACAACGAAAACGCGTTTTGGAAATTTTGACCAAGTTATAACTGAAAACACCCAAAACGACAAATTTGTCGTTTTGAGTTTTATTTGTAAATTTTAAACTTATTTTCAAAAATGCGTTTTTGAAAATAGGAAAAAGTTAGCGTTTTCACTGTTTTGAAAAATTTCTTTGTAAATTTTAAACTTGTTTTAAAAAACGCGTTTTCGAAAATAGAAAAAGAAAAAGCGTATTCATTGTTTTGAAAAATCGAAAATAGAAAACAGTTTGAAAATGGCAAAGAGAACAGACCCTTATTGTCTCCATTCAAGATGCATTCCCTAATCCAGTATCATATCTGACCCTCCTTCAAATAGCTGTTACTTGCCTTCCACGTCATATAAATATTTTCATTGTTCACGAATATATCAAAGCTTTCTGTTTAAGTTGAAAAGCTACAGTGTCAACGGCTACTCATCGCATGATTTTACATGATATTTAGTGTAAAGCACTTATCATCTCATATCTTCTCAACAAGATTGACCCCCATCTTCTATCATTTTCCACAAGGAAAATTGCTGACTTCTAAATGACTTCCTACAGGCGTCTTACAACCATAAAAGCCGGAAAAAATTTCTTATTCTGTATCTCAAATTTGACATGAGATATGCAATGTGATTTTATGTTCAAGCCCATACAATTACAATACTGTAAACTTACACAAACATATCTCGAGTGATTCGACTATTCTGAGATTTTTGGACAGCTCATACATGACAAATGAATTATAAGCAGTAAAATCTAGGAAGAAATTTTCATGCACCCACTCATCTATGAAATAAAGGAATGCCATCTTACCCAGTGATCTTTCTCCTCATTAACAGGCTTTATTCTATTCATCCAGTCTGCAAAGCCTCTCCTCTTCTCAGTTGGTTGTTCAGAAGGACGGATTCTTCCACCCATCTCCTTAAACTGCAGTTCAAAGGAGTCAAAAACATTTTACTATCTGATTTCATCGTTTAATTCACTTTATTTTATTTTCATGCATGTGTCCAGGTGGGTTTGGGCTGTGGGAAAGCAAAAGAGTACAGGGCTACAAAAATGTGTGGAAGAGTCAACATAGTTTCATAGACTAGTAAATTTCATTACACAATCAAGAATCATATTCTAACAATTTCAAACCTGTACAGTTGCAGCAGTAACTGTATCTAAAATGGTATTGGTGGTATAACTATTTGACTGCAGTCTGATACGCTTTGGTTCAATGTCAACAGAACTCTTTGACCAAAAAGCAAATGTTGAAGAATCAAAACCCTAAAAAGCAAAAACAAATTTCTCAGTAAGCATTTAGTCAAGGTAGACAACAAAAAGGGAGCAAGAGCAGAGACCAAATGAACCCAATAAAACTTGAAGGATAACAGCAATCCTATAAACTCTTAGCAACACCAGCTAGCCATTAGCAACGAACATGATGTGAATATGGCCTCTTGGCCCTCTCCCGTATGATCCATCTATCCCATCATAAATGTATATCAAATATTTATCAAATAAAAGCAATTGAAGGACACGGCCATATTTAATGATTCCATAGTTTAATTTACCAAGAAACAAATAATATATATGTTAGAGACAGCAATTGTGCTTGCTGCATACCAAAATCATAAGTTTTCATAATAGAGCTTGCCAATCTAGAAGTTTTTGCATGTCCATAGCCGTATCCATGTCGCTATCGTAGCATATAAACCCATCTACCCAACCCAACACTAAAAAGAAAGGAATAAATCAAAGCATACTTCACATCTAGTTATTGTGTCGAGAGGATAAATTCGAAGAACCCGACTGGTCGCTGGGTCAAGCATACGAATTCCATCCAAGCCAATCTGAAAAAGATTCCACAACAAAATTTGAAGTTAAGATCTTAGCCGATCCTGCAAAGGAAAATAGAAGCATATACTCTTTTGCCTAACAAAGACAAAAAATTAATAAAAAATAAAAAAGTACGTAATCATCACTGGAACATCGCAAGCACAACAGATGTGGTACATCTCCCTTCAGAGAACCAACAACTGATCTAAATTCTACATGAATCTGACTTGACCAAAGATATGAAAAACAAAATCAAAAATGAAGATCACAAGAATTGACAAGCTAAGTGAGCACGATACTCGAGTATAAGTATAACAAGTTGCTGAAGTGGATTTAAGAATGAGCATATGACCGTGAAGTTAACATATACCATCAACACGTTTTAAAACAAAAAGTAATGCAAATACTAACCTCTAGATTCATGTTAACAAAAAGTAATGCAAATACTAACCTCTAGATTCATGTTAACATGTTACTAACTTAACTTAATACTAAGGTATCTGGATCAACATTTTGGTGCTAACATGTTACCGTCCTGTGTCTTTTGCAGTTGTTCTTCCCAAACATTGGAAATGGACAAAAAGTTCATGCATGCAATGGAAAAAAATGTCAACACAGAACCATCAACAAATAGCATTTCCAAGTCACAATCATGATTAAACACAAAAATTGTACACACTACACATGGAAAGTTTCCTATTCATGTGTGGCCAGTTGTAAATTTACTCAGTCATGTAAACCGCTCATCCTTACAAGCCCCGAAGCCAAAGATACAATAGATTTCAGTTTTTAATATCTAAAACTACCTCCATCCCATAAAGATAGGCTTTTTCTATTTTTCACACATATTAAGAAAGCTTAATTAATATACGCTGGAACTATAAATTTTATTTCATTTCCCAGTACACCCCTACGCTAAATAATGGTAACTCATATTTTTTTATAACAACAAAATTAAGATATTAATTATAACAAGACCCGTTAGTTAGGGGTATATCAGAAAATTAAGATATTAATTAGTGTTAACAAGAAAAGTGGCCTACAATTTGGGGCAAGCAAAAAGAAAATCAAGCCTATTTTTGCGGGACGGAGTTAGTATCACATAGTACCACAAAAAGGAAAACTAATGTAATTCCATGACCAAACATGGGCAAAGCAAGTGAACTTTTCCGGGTGGCAATCTGCTACAGAACACGCTGAACCTGACCATGTTGCCACTTTCATATGATATTCAAATATGAAATCACGCAAGTCTGCATTCCTCCTCCAGTTCAGAAATTCAAAGCCTTTCAAAAAGCCATGACAATTTATGAACACGACACAACAGATTTCGGTTCACAATTAGACAATATAAACAACAAAGTTGAAAAAATTGAAACAGAATGTAAGCGGGAATTTCTGCATAATAGACCTGACAAAGAACGTCCATGGTGCTCTGACCAGCACTTTCTGCTAATAACTTAACTCTGTACTTCTGAACCCCACCCTTCGTATCCTGCTGTGAATCCGCCTTCGGAACTGCCTTCACAACCTTCAACCCTGTATTTGTTGACCGCTCCTTCCCTGAAGGAGAAGAATGCCCAATTGGCCTCCCAAAATCATCAAAACCTGACAAAGTCGACGACTTGGGAGCTGTTCCCCGAGCCCCATAAGGCTCTGAGCTACTCTTTTTGTAAGCATAAACCCCTTCATTGTTCCCAAAACCCCAATCATTCTTCCCATAGCCACCGTAGCCACTCTCAGATCGCTTCCCCTACAAATCAGAACCAAATTCAGACCCGCCCCGACAGTAATTTCCATCTAAATAACCACCCGGATGATCGAATTTCACAGAATGGTCATAAGGGGCGTTGGCGTCATATACTGGCGGATAAGATTGATTAAACTGAGAGGTATACAGAGAAGGATATTGTGAATTGGGTCCAACAGGTTTATGGCTTGGGGAATAATTGGCTGCGGGCTGATCATAAGATGAGTAATACGACTGCTGTTGCGGTAGCTGTGATGGCGGGGTTGAGTATTGCCCGTGGACTTCTAACTGGGGAGAAGAATAAGAAGGTTGAGGTTTTTGAAACGACAGCGCTGTAGGGAGAGGATCGAGATTTTGTGGAAAGTGAGGATAAGATGAAGAATTGTGCTGGTAAGAGGTGGTGGAGTGATCGGCGGAGGAAGGAGGAGGAGGGGTGTAATTGTTGGGGGAGACGGGTGGTGCGGAAGCATAAGACGGCGGCGGCGGTGGGTAGTGAGTTAGATCGTCGATCGGGTTCGGGTTATGGGTTTGCGGGTATTGCTGTTGCTGGTAGTAGGGGATGGAGGTGTAATCGCCGTGTTGCATTGTTCGAGACTACAAATCGGAGGAGAATTATTTTCCGATTACGTTTTCTGGAGGAAACAACCCCCTTGAGGATTCCACAATCAACACGAACTATGCTTCTTCGTAATTTTTTGTTTGACATCATTGTTGAGTCGTTGACACACTACCCGATTTGGTGATTGATTGAAAAAAAATATTGTTAAAAATAATGTACAAAAATTCGTCAATTCATATGATATCAAAACTTTACACGCAGATTTGCCATGATTGAATTGACGCATATCTAACTAGAGCATGGGTACACACTTCCATCTGAAGCCAAATAAACTTGCATTCTAGTGCTGAAAAAGTCGAAGATGAACTTGAAATGATGAATGCTTAATTAGCACAACTACTTTTGCACAATCTGATTCAAGAATAGAAACTTCATATTTTGGATTTATTTTGAGTTTTGATTTGTACGTGTGGAGTAATTTTACTCCAAATTTTGATTTATACAATTTATATTTATCAATGAGAAAGGAAAAATTGTAGCAATTGTCTCTAACCTTTCATTTCTTTGCCGACTTTACAATAATCTTCAATTTGTGCCAACAACGATCTCTAACATTTCAAAATATATAGCAGAAGTCCATTCATTTGATCGCGAGTTATCCAAGAAAGTCAAAACTTAATCAATTTTGACCAAATTAAAAGAGTAAAATGATAACTTGATAATTACCACATTAGATAAATTAAAAAAACCAAAAAATTCAGAAAAAATAAAAAACCAAAAAATCAGAAAAATGTTGTCTCCCCCAAACTCCCACCCCTACCCCTACCCTTACCCCTAACCCTAACCCCAACTCCTTTCCCACATCCACCAGTAATGTCGACACCATCGCCAATCACCATCGCCACCATCGCCATCAAATCTACACTCAAAACCAATAACCCCATCCCACCAATGCGCACGAGCTGTACAGTAAACTACCACACTACCATCAAACCAAAACCAACTACCTCCATAAAACAAAAACCAATCACCACCAAACCCCAAATTTTATGTAAATTGATCTGTTGATTGCTAAAAATTTAAGGCTGGAAATCATAGAAAATGTCGTTCTGATTTCAAGGCTAACATTATTCACGAAGGCAATGGAAGAAAACAACAAGTTCTTAGCCTCAATTGGCGCTAGGGTTTTACCATTTCTTATTGTAGCTTTGGGCAATAAACAATCGGTGAAATATCTCGAGGTTTTGGAAAAATTTGTTCTGTAGGAACCGGCAATAAAAATCGATTCAGTAGGAGGACAATGGGTGTGTGTGATTGGATTTTTGTCGATGGGTGTTAGAAGGAGACGTTATCGGCAGTGATGTGTGATTGGATTTCTTACTATGGTACCAACGATAGGTGGGGACGAGGTGGCTTATTTCTTTTCTTAATTATTTTTGGTTTTTTCCTGATATTTTTGGTTTTTTGGTTCAATGGTAATTATCAAGTTACCATTTACCCTTTTTTTATTGTGTTTTCAGTGAGGATAATGTTGTTAGGATCAGTTTTTTTTTTTTTTTATTTGTTACATT